ACTAATATCGCACATGCAAAATGCAGCATGATACAATGTATCCTACTGCTAATGGACTGGCACCACATGTCGAAAAAAATACAAGAAACGATAGTCTACAAGYCGTGTCGTAGCTGCCTAAATGATACAAGAAAAAAAAATACTGTACAGTCTGARCTCAGTCTSCTGCAACCGACGACACTCTACGAACACCCTACTGRCACCAAAATCATACTCTACGAACACCCTACTGCTACCAAAATCAYACTTACCAACAAGTAAAGCACGCACACAACCACTKAGTGTCTGACAATACTGAGACAAGACGAGASGACTCAGACTACCAAAAACACTACAACCGCACAACATGACGACGTACAGTGCRAGTAGGGGAGAATCGGAGTGTTGGCCTCATCGGTCAACGACCCTTCTTCCCCTTCCTGCTGTGTCTCCTCGCCTCGAGTGCCGGATGTCGACCCCTTCCTCCCTCGTGAGGATGAAGAAGTCCGTGCAGCGGAGCGTCTAGATGCACGCGTCGGTGGGGGTCCTGGGGAAGCTGGGGGCTTATCGTAGTCGTCGTCGTCGTCATTATCGGAACCGCTCCTGCTATCCTCCTCTCCCCCCTCCTCGCCCTCGTAGTCCTCGCCCGCATCCCGCACAGCCGCATCCGTAATAATCAGGATCATCCTCCTCGATGGTGACTGGGCCTCCTCCCTTCCTCAACACAACAATCCTCGCACTAGCCTCTTTAATGGTCTGCTCACGGCGGGATCCACGAGGCATCCCCAACCCCTCCGCCCCCGAACTCTCTCCAAGTGYTGCGCCTCCCTCTGCAGGCACGGGGCGTGGATGAGGAGGCACTTCACGCTTGCGTGGAGTCTGCTCCTGCACGCGTCGCTGCTCTCAGAGCGTACTCCAAGGTCTCGGTGGACACTCCTCTGCCACGACCTCGCTGAGGCTCACAACCTGATGTCGGTCCCTCCCTCACCTCAGTCGTCCTAGCGCCTCCTCCTCCCAAGCCCGACTAAAGGCGTCCAATGTGCTCTGTGACACGGCGGGTGGAATCCAAATTTATATCTGTCCTCCCGAATATCGCCGTGTCACACACGTCCTGCTGAACTGCTGTCGTGTCACGAATCCWAGATCTCCCAGGCGTGTGTGGGGATCGRGAGCCTCTACYTGTGGGCGACGATGATGGATCACCTGCAGGTGCTCTGGGAGGAGGGGGTGGCATGTCTCCTGTGCGTGGCGCTGTCCCCGTCACGCCACCCGAAACCACTGGAACATGTCCCGCGGTATGTCCTCCGGTGGTTGTAGACCCAGACCACACGGGYGACGTAGGAGCCCATGGAACCGAAGGGATCGTCTGCCATGCTGGATGCTCGAGCCTCCGGTCGAAGATCCGCAGGTCCAAGCGAGTAACATCGCGCACAGCCTCTCTCGCCAACTCCTCTGCATCCAAAGGACGAGRRACCTCCTACGGAGCAAGTGGCTAGGAAGACATGGGGSCACAACCACCGGCTCGGACCCCAAATCCGTGATAACGGGCGGTGGCACACCATGCACTGCCATCTGAACCGCCTACGGCTGTCGGGCCTAAGCCAAGTGCAGGCCCGAGAACRAAACGACTGTACCCGTYGCGGTCTCCTGGACCTCGMGTCGTGCGTCTATAGCCCCCTCGACTCACCGCTGTCCTGCCTGCRTAGCCTCATCCAGYGCCTRAGGYCRTCCCTCCACAACAACGTCCGCTGCCTCTGCTCCACSCGRCATAGCCTCGGGTACCGGCTCTGCTGCCACTCCCTCCGCAACGTCCTCCCCTATCTCTCGACGCCTGGCGTCCTCTACGGATCGTGCGAACGCCTGAGCACACGGGTCAGTCGATGCCAAAAGTGTAGCCCTCTCTCGCTCCATGATGTCGCGTGCTGCATCTGGAGACTCAGTCGTCGTCCTCTCTCTCGCGATCTGTGTYGAAGTCTGTTCTGGCGCCTCGTYCCTCGATGGAGCCCGRTCTGTCGATGTCGCCCARCCGCAASTAGGTGGAAGGCCCATCGACAAATCTAAGTCTAAGTGGGTCTCCATCTCCGAATCKGAAATCCCCAACCCCCTCGCCACACTCAGGGTCATACCCGCTATGGCCGGACCGAGCTCCTCCGTGAGGAACTGCTGCATGAGGCGCTCGTCATCTCCCCCACGCTGCTCCTCGGCCTGTGCGGCTATCTCCTCCTCCAYTGCAGCTGCCGACGGTGCCTCCTCCTCCTCCACTGCTGCTGCCACCTCAACCTCCACTRCTGCTGCTCCTCCACCTGCTCCTCCTGCTGCCGCCACCTGCCCCTCCACTGCTGCACCTCCTCCTGCCGCTGGTGGATCCTCCTCCAACACTGATGCTGCCATCTCCTCCAGCACTGATGTTGTTGCGGCTGCTGCTATCTCCTCCACCACGGCCGCGATCGTAGYGTCCGGCACCGCCRYTGGTGCCACCGAACTCYCCACTACTRCTGCCGAAGGTGCCCCCTCCTCCTGCAATATCCCCGGGGAAGGTGATCGTAACCTAAGCTGGCRGACTGCCCCGCCTCTGTGGAGAAGGCCGCGCTCAGGCAAAGAGGACCCGAACTCCTCCCTGTCCGGCTGARGTGGMGAGACGGGCGATCGTGGTGCAGGACTCGGAGCAGGASGTGGCGGCATGGACGAATCCCGCCTCGTCGGAGTGGGGGTCGTCGCCTGCGCCTCTGGGCCGCCCGTGGAAGCGACCTCAATGAATGGGCCCCAAAAGTCCTCGTCCTCCCCCAGCATCTCCCTCTCCGCCCGGTCCGCCGCCCGTCGTGCAGTGTGTGTGCCCTCGTCTCCTCGGAGTCGGGATCCTTGTGCATCTCGTCGATMTCCCGGGGAATGCGGAGCGCAGGGTCATTTGGCGCCTCGGGTATCGGTTCCTCGTCTGAGTCGTCCTCCCTGGGGTAGGGACGAAAAATGCAAGCACGTTTATCAAAAACGGCATCAGTCGAGGGTGGTGCGGACGCCTTGATGGGATCCCGGGTAATAAGTGCAACCTGACGAACAATCTCCTCCTCCGTCATCCCCTTGCGAGTCCCCGTGCGCACAGGCTCCAACTCGAGTCCTGCCTGGCAATCCAGCATGCCCTCGTCCCGCTGCCATGGCAGCACGTAACCGCATCTAGCCCGCCGATACTCAGTCGACCGCACATTTGCGGTGATCTTAACGAGTTGCACGACCTTCTCGAAGGCCAACTGGTTGCGCTTCTTCGTGTGAATGCCCTCGTGGGCTGCCCAGTTCCTCTCCGTTGGAGAGGCGCAAGACCACATTTGCATCACCCGAAGAGCGCAACGCTGCAACTCTGGAGCGCGAGACCCAAACAGAGACCACCAAGACACGCTTTCAATCGTCTCGCCGTCGCCGTTGCACGCGCGCCCACGAGCACGCCCCTCCGGCCCGCCCCAATCCCCGAACCTGCCCTGCTGAATGTGGAAGTCTTTAAACTGCCGACATGCAAGGATGTACTCTGCACCCTCCAACTGGAATCCCGTCTGCGTCAGAATGTACTTCTTGGCTTGCCCCCCAAGCCAAGCATCGTACCGCTCTACCTGCCCCGAAAAGTAGCGAACGTGTCGCCTGCGGGGGTTCAGTAAGAACCCTGCGCAGTGAGACGGTTCAAGCATGTGCTGTGTGCGAGCCTGCACACGCATGAGGATCAGGTCGGCGAATGACTTCCGCAAAGGGGCGCATGCTTCCAGGACACGGCGGACAAGATCCTGCGTCCACTCGATCATGAGGGACATGTATTGTCCTCCACGATCCATCCGCCTGAGCAACTCCATGACGGGCTGCATGATATGGACGATGGTGGCCACCCTCTGCCACCATGGATCCCATCTGATCTGTCGGCGCACCCAACGCGCGATGATGCACACATCGGCGGACCACGGGATGGAAGCAAAAGCCCGCACGTTGTCCCCTCGCATCATGTCCTGCAGAGTGTCCTGCAGGGCCAACGACCTCTCTAGCATGGAGTAAACAGACTTAAACCGCGTCTCGCAAGAAAGAATAAGGCCGTTGTCGGGGCTGCGCGTCCTAAAAAAATGAAGGGCGGCCTGGTGGGTTTTGAAAAACACCACCAGCACACGAGTGCGTGTGATCGCGTCCACAAACGCATCGCAACTCGTCCCCATGTCTGACAACAATTTGTTGCAGACATGAACGGAGCACGGGAGCCAAGTGATCCTCCTCAGTGCAGGAGGTATGGTTGGCGAGGCCAATGCCCTCGCAGCCCCCATATAGGCAGAAGCGGAGTCAGTGCATATCGCATTGATCTGCTGCGGCCCTCCAAAGTTGAACTCGTGGAAGATGGTAACCCATCTCCGAAGGACGTGCACTGCATCGTCCGCCTCGCCCTCTCGATTGATCGTCATGTACACGACGACCCCTCGAGAGCTTGCAGCAAGGAAATTCACGATCGGTCTCCCGTCTCGTGATTTCCTCCCATCGGAGAGGAGGGTGGCCTCACCTCCTCCAACTCCTCCGCCAACTCCGCACAGTGGGTCTCCATCGCCCGCATACTCGCAATCTCGCAGTGGTTGGGGAGCACTGCGCGCGGGGAACTGCCAGGCTGCTGAAGAAGCACTTGCTGATATGCCTTCCACGCGTGGTTGCGGAAGGCATTGAAGGAGACCCCGTTGGAATACAGTCAGCGAAGGAATGCCTTATTGTGGCGAGCAACCCACTCGCCACCATACACATCAGTCATCTTCTGCTGGCAAAGCCTCTTCCCTGCTGGGGTGGCAGCTGGATCACTTCCCCCTTCCTTCCTCTTGGAAGACCCCTCCGTTGCAGCTCCCTTCCCTGCTCACCTCCGCCAGTCCTCCAACCTCTCGCCAGTGCCTGGATAAAACTCTTGCACGTCCTCCCGTTCCGGGACTCCGTCCTCACCCGGGCTACGCGCCTCGCGATCTACGTGGATAACGCCCTCCTCCGTCTCACCGCCTCCACCACCCAAAGTGGGGTCTGCCGCACCATGCCCACCATCTCCCCCGACCCCTCCCTCCGCCGGACGCCGCCCCGCCTCTCCTCCCCTTGCACCTCCCGTGCCAGGCACATCGAGTCCGCGCTCCGCTGCATACCTGGCAACCCTCTCCATCTGATCGGCCTCGAACTTATGTTGAGTCCGTCGTACAACGCCTCGTCGCTGACGTCCTTGAAGTAGTTTGTCTACGAGAAGTGCCTCGTGGCCTGAAACTGATTCCCTTGGAAAACTTTGTTGCAAAACGTGCAACGGAGCGTCATGACCCCCTTGTTGTCGACCTTCTGGCCGACAACCAGGTACCGATAGACAGGGGAGCGGGCCCTGAAGGTGTCCTGCACATGGTCTGCGGCAGCCTCGTGCTGACGGCGCTGTGCCCTCCCCATGTCGATCACCCTGGCGAGACAACCCTCGCTGACTCCCCTCGACCGCACCGCTGCAACCCAACCCCCGTTAACCACTGCCCGCCGCAGGGTCCCCCTTCCCCCAACTCCCCCCCCCCTGCAATCCAACCCTCCTTCCGTCGCCGGCCTGAGGGTCCCCCGTCTAACACCCCCCACAGACTCCCCCCCTCTAGAGTCAACACGTGCGGAGCCCGCCGAACCACCACAAACGCACCGCGGGCCCCGGCGTTGAACTGCGTTTAACGCCGATAAAACGCATTAAAATGAATTAAATCGCGTTAAATCGCGTTTAACGTCGTTGAATTAAAAATTCAACGGCATCATTCGAGACGGCGAGTGGCGGTTCGGAGCCATCGCCTCGCACTTCGACGCTCCGCCCTCGTCGAGTCGACGCCGCCGCTCCGCTGCAACAACTGTCTCTCTCTCTCTCTCTCTC